TATTACAGTTCTCTGGTACTTCACCACAGTACAGACATTGTTCTTAGAAAGATGAGGACAGAGATGAAGAGGAAATATTCCACTTGTAAAGGTCACTAAGTGAGCAGAATAAGGGAATTCATGGAAGACTTATTGCAATGATTAAATACTTATTATCCAGTCAGATATACTATGCAAACATTTTACTAAGGCTGAATTTTAACAACCTTGCTCAAGCTTACCTAGTCAAAAGCTTTTTATTATGTACAAATATAAAATATTATTGTATCTGAAAGAAGGACTGGCAAAAGTAACCAGTGTTTTTAATATTGCTTTTGTTTAAATTATACTCTTCTAATTGCAATGTTCTTAGCTCAAATCTCATGCTTCAGAAGAAACTTTGATAATAACTGAGTAAAGAGTAACTTGGAGCACTTCAGTTTTGGAGATGTGCAGTAATCCTGTGTATTTGCAGCTAGTAATGTAGGAGATGGCAATAGCATTATAAATCTGCTAGTGACCATTTCAACAGTTATGCTCTATGAAATGCCACTATCTATACTCTTGTTTTGACAAATCTAGGTAATGGATATCCAGAGGGTAAAAACAGTTCCAGACCCTCTGGATGATTTGAGTGAAAAACTCTAAGCAGTACAGTCACCATTATTTTAGTCTCTTACAATCATTTAAGCAAAAAGAAAAAGGGATTTCTTTCTTCAGAGAAGTCTTCCTTTTGTAATCATATTTGCTTCCATTCAAGAAACCATAATTTTTATGTTTTAAAGGCAGAGACAATAATTTCTACCGCTTCTGACACAACCTATTTGGAATTCAGAACGATGAGGAAGGCAATTAACTGACATTTTTCTACATAATAATATAAGTTAGGGCTCTAAGGCTTTGTCTACACTAGGGAAATTTAGATGAGTTTCTCAATGTTGCTGACACTGGCTTGGCCAAGGCACTGTTACGAGTGTGGAAGGTCTAATGCAGACAAATTCACAGCCCAGCAATTAAGGCTTTCTTGGAACAGAATGGAAATAGCATTCACAGGTATGAATATTTCTACACAAATAATCCAAAAACTCATGGGTAAGACTCATTCCCTCTTTGAAGAAAATTTATAGTGTGCCTATTGTTTAACCAGCTATAGCCCAGAGTGATGTCACCATCCTTCCTTAATTCTTTTACTTTGTTAAAGGCTTCATTTCTTCAAAAGATATTTTAACTTTGAATAATCTACTCCTGAAATATTTCTTAAAATTAAGAATTATTTGAAATGTTCTTTTTGAATAAAATAAGGAAGTTGAAAGCTTGAGTTATTTTCTGAGAATGTAATTTTTCATCAGCATTACTGTAGACTAAACCCTAAAAGATGCTTCATAATATGACTTTCTTACAACACAAATCTGATTCTTTGGTGCCTATCATCAAATTTGCTCAATTTATAAAAGCTACTACTCCACTGGAACTGCGCTTTTAAACTGAACTTTTTCTACTTAAACGATAAATCATTAAAACACTGCTGGAAGGAATATGGTTACAAATGAGAATATTGGCAGAAATCCAATGTTATTGGGAAGGTAGGATTTTTGTGCTAGTCCCACTACCAGTGGTGATTAATTAAAAAACATTAGATACCTAAAGCCCAAAGAGTAAGTTCGATATGATTCCCATTGCAGGAACAACCTGCCTTTGCTAGAAAAGATATTTTTGCAAGCAAAAAAGAAAGGAAAATCACGATAGCAAAGCTCAAAGACACAAAGATATAAATGTAAATAAAAGATATAAATGTTCATGTTTATTTACAGTCCCAGCTTTTAGTCTAGTGGTTTGCATATCAGGATTTCTGTCTCCACAGTATACTTAATCAGGAAATCCACATAAATTAGATGATAGAAGGGCAGAGATCTGAGGCTAAACCCCCTATGACTATGGAGAGGTAATGGAAGAGCAAATGAATGCAGAGATTTGAAAAGATGGCAATGGAAAAGATGGAGGAATCATGAAAATGCCAAGTGGTGAGAGAAAAAAAACAACCTCCAACACTTATCAGTTGGTGTTACAGATTTTGTTTGCAGCAGATGTTTCAACGCCCTGCAAACAGTATAGAATTTAGCAATTGTGAATGAAGGACATTGTCCCATAAGTATTAAGGGTTTCAAATTATTTGCAATTTTTAGATTTGTCTGAAGCAGTTTGAATACTAAATTACACAAGTGGTTACACCCTCAACAAGGTCCAGTTCCTATGATATGCACATGGAGAGATAAATCTTTCCTGTCAGTCACATATCCCACTGACACCTGCTGTCCAGATGTTGGATGAGCATCACATTGCATACTAAATAACTACCGTATTTCCAATTAATATATTTTCACACACAACACAAAATTAGATTTTGAGATCTTTCTATGTAAGTGACAAATTCAGGATTAATAAGATATCATCTTCAGTGAAGCCAGCCTATACAGATTACACTGAAGTCAAACTAGAATCAAGAAAAAACACCCCAAAACACTCTCCTTACAGACTGTGTGTTAAGAAAAAGTCAATAGGTGCCATATTTTCTCTCTAAAATAATCATTTACCATGAATTTTCTCTCTAAAATAATCTGTGATGCTCTATAAAACCACTATGCAGTTCCACTTTATAATAAATCAATAATATGAACTACAAGGAGCAATCTAGGCATCAGGACATCCCATCTGCCTCACTTCTCCAACTATATGCAAAACTAAAGCACATCAGCAGTGTTTTAGTGTTTTTTTGGCTCTTGGGTCAGAGAATCTTTGTTTCCAGCAATCAGTCTCTGAACACAGACAGCTGAGCTACCCAAAGATTCAAAATCCAAGTAACAAGAACCAAAGATCACAGTAGAAAGAATTCATACTGTTTTATATACCTACCCCTAAATAAAGTCTCTCCATGTTCAGGTGTTATAATAAATTAAAAACAAAATCAAAACAACTCAAAATAGAACTCTGCAGTCTATGAAGTGAGCCACTAAAAGTTGTTCATTAGTCAGAACCAAACCTAGATCACGTGAAACAGACATTTTTTACTTATTTTGTTATGTGCTGCTTTGTCAATTATGTATTAATTTAATTAATATGATCTTGGCTTCTTTCTGCTAAGTGACCTGACTTTCTTGGACATGACCTGAAGAGACACTAAATATGTATTTGGTTTTGAAGCATCAGGCAAAAGGATAATATCAGTTGTATGTTACATATTCTTGAGTTCAAGGAAATAAGTTCAATACAGCACCCTGGTAAAGAGTTCACAGCTGCACATTTAATCTACTTGTGTAGATAATCCTGTTCCCGGAACAAGAATACAATTGTTATTCCACTTCAACAGACTATTTTACCTTGATTCAAATGTTCACTCATGAAGGCAAACCAGAAAATACTTTAATTTGAGTTAGCAAAATGAATTTTGGATTAAACTTATTCAGAGTAACTTGTAGCCCCAAAAAGATGAGTTTAAATTGCAAACATGATTTCCTAAGCATTCAGTGCTTATTAATCAGATTTTCTAAAAACAAGTTCTTCCTCAAAGTAGTTCCAATATGAAATATAAAAATAAAATATTAGATAAACTATTGGCTCATACAAAGAGAGAAACTCCTCTAAGGCCTTGCTGGAAGTAACTAAATTGTTTACCTTAACTATTTTCAACACTGTCCTCTCCTTTAGAGAATACTAGCCACAGCTGTCTTTTGGTTTGCATGAGGATTTCAGAGAGTAAGGTCTTGATAAAACCCTTCAGCACACGTGCACTGAAGTCCCGCAGGACTAGCACATGCTCTATCTCCTCAAGCCTTGTCTTTGACAGGGAGAAAGGATGACACGAGAGTTCATCCACTCTGGTGTTTTGCTTGCCCTTCTTAGCATCCTGTGTATACGTTTTGGGACCATCCCAAACTGACAGAGCTTGAAGACTTCCAGTCTGAGGCCAAGACTCTGCTTTCCCTGCCCTGAAACTGGTAAATGGCACTTTTAGTTAAGAAAAGTGCAATGGCCTTTTAGTTAAGGTGCTGGGTGGACTCAGGAAAACTGTACTCAATTCCTGGCTTTACAATGGATTTTCTTCACAAACCCAGACAAGTACTTGTGCCTTGATACAAAACCTCCTGTCCCACCCAAAAGTGTTTTGAGACAGTACCTTAATATTTGAGAGATGCCAGGGCTCTGCTTTCATGGGTACACAGTGTGGGAAGCAGGACAGAGCTCAGGATGATGTTTGGGAGTAAAACTATTTATCAGGCCATGAGCCGCAGTTTCTGTCTTCTTGCACATCATCTTTTATACCTTGTGTAATCACTTAATGCATTTAGTATTTCTGTTACTAGTATCATATGTCTATTTACACAAGATTTCTCCGTGACATTATAGAAGACAGAGTCTTATTAAGAAGATCACAATCTTACTGATTGAGCAGAGACATCTACATATGTGTGCTATTACTATAATGCCATGCAGGTTGAGGAATGGACATATAAAAGTAAGTAGAAATGGAAGAAACACAGAAAAAGAAAATAGGGGGACAAGATAACTCAGCCAAACCTGCAGCCCTGCAGATTTCTAAATATCCTATAACCTTTAAAGTTTCTGTGGCAGAACAGAGCTCTCGGGGTATCACTTCAGTGAACCTACATATATTGTGTCAAAACATATCACACAGGTGTTAGTATGCAGATGCAGGAAGAAAAATACACCTTCATTTAGACATGGAAACATAAAACTTCAGGTAGCATACAGAAAAGCACATTAAGCAATGATTAATAAGCGTTTGTCTAATGAAGGTGCTTCTAGTGGTAGAATGAGGCTGCCATGCCTAATTAGCAAATATTAATCTGCTTTAATTAATCAACCTTAAGAAAAATGATTATATAAAAGAATGGCATAGAAAAATTAAAGCAAATATTACCCACAGACTGCACAAAAGATTTTTTTGGTAGTCATACGCTGCTGACAATTCATCAGATATAACTAGGTAGAGGAAAAGAACTGACCTCCCGAGGACAGATGATTCTCTTGGGACGTGGTGCCTCTTGTTGCAATTGATACACTGTCAAACACAAAAATGTACAGATCATTAGGAGATGGCAACATACACAAACTTTTATTCAGATGAGTCTTTTTAGCCAGGGGCTGCGGAGAAAAATGCAAATGTAAAGAATATGAAATCAAAATGAGGTATTTCAGTGAGTCTAAGTCATTTATATGAAAATTGGTTGTTGACCTGCAAACTAACTAAAGTGATCGGTGCTTTAACTTTTAGAAGTATTATCTTCTTTTGTATTGTTTTTTACATTTTTATACTAGGGAAGCCAGAAATAGATACAATTGTTAGGTGTATCTCAGGACAAAATCCCACTTTTGCATATACTGTGTGTTAACAACCCAAGAACAGATTGCTTACCAGTAGCACCAGCAGTTTTTTTGGATAGGGCAAGAAAAAGTTCAGTACCTTTGAAAGGGCTCACCACAATCTCATAATTTATTTCAAGATTTGCTGGCAATTACCGAAGAGCAAGCAAACATTCCTTTCAGAGCCATTATATCCTATTCAAATGGCCCTGGATCAATTTTGCAAATCTTCGGAGGGCTGAAAGAGAGAGACCTGAGGCTAGAGGTAGTTGCTGCCTGGCCCCAGCCTCTTCACTTGCATGTATTTAATGAGATCCTCTCCCTCCCTTCCACTCCGGAGTCGTGAGAAGAAGCTGACATGCAATGACAGTAATCAATTCCAGCACAGACAGACTGTCTCTCCGTAACTCCAGTAAAAATCCCAGAGGTTTGGATTCCCTCCCTTGAGAAAGGCCTTCTGTATGCTGACCTTCTTGTATTTGGAAAGATCGTGTCGTGTCTATGAATTTTTTTAAAAGACTGAGTTTCTAGGATGTTTTTCTTCATAATCTTCGTGAAGCTCAGAATTATGCCCTGAAAGGTGGCAGATTATGGGAGGAATAGAAATGCCTGTGGGTTTGATAAACACAGAAGCCCTGTTGCAGAAAGTGACTGGAAATAATAGGTGTTAACCCTTAGCACGTTTTCGCACCTTGTGCACCTTCTCTTTAAATGAAACTAGAAGTGATGAAATCTGGAAAGTGGGGAAGTCCTTTAGCCTGCACCCAAGTTTGTCACACAGGGGATGGGAAAGCTTTGAGGGCTTCTGCCTTCTGCTCACGTCAAAGTGCAAAACCCCACAACTTCCTCTTTTCCCAGCCCAAGCTTCATCCCTGGTTCCTTAGAGGGGCACAGAGAGTTCATGATTTCTTATATTCCCTATCAATTTTAATGCATATAGATGTGATCTAGCTCTGAATTTGTACTCAGGCTTTGGATACACCCTGCATAATTCAGCACTGTCAGATTTTCCACTGCTTTTGCACAGGATAACTTCTGGTCTTTCCTACCTCTTGCAGTTATGTGACTAAGGTTTAAGGACTTACTTCTACTCTATTGTGACCAAATGATTTGTGTATCCAAAGTATGAAAATTTTGTTCAAAAATCACAGATAATGTTTTAAAACTCTGATTATTCTGTGGTCCAATTTTAGAATTAATTTCTGAATGTCTGAAATCAGCATAACCACTGATTCAGCAAGTTAGTGATGCTTAATACTAAAGGTATTAAAAAAATAGTAACTTTTTCCTACCAACTTACATTTTTAATGGAGAGAAGGAACTCTAAGGATTCAAAACATTGCAAAAATATGATTGCTTCTCATTTAAAGTAAATTATCTATTTCCCCAATTAATTCATTTGAATTTTAACTGAAAACTAATACTTCATAAAAATCCTATTTTCAATAATCAAATCTGTTAAACGTTAACTGACACAGCATATTAAGCTAATGACTGTTTCTAAAAAAAATTGTTAGCAGTGGTGCAAAACAAGTTGGTCTGAAGATCATATAGGAAGTCCCTCTTGTGATGTGCTGCATTTATAAGAAATGAAAAAAGCAAAGAGGTCTCTAAAATAACCAAAGGATCTCTGAGGCAGATAACTCTGGAGAAGCAATGGTGGGGAGAAGAGTCAGCATTTCACAAAACAAAGGAAGGAATGATTAACAGGAAAGACCAGGTACATGAAAGACTTGAAAGCAAACACAAAAAAATGGATGCTGATTGGATGTAGTGAGATGAATCAGTGCAGGGATTCATGATGAATGCAAGGAAGACAAATCATCTTAACAACTGTATTTTGAATAGATTGGAAAAGGTTGCTGTCATTCTCAGAGAGACATGGGTAATTAATCTGCACAATAATATGAACTGAGAAATATATCTGATTTAAAAATACATCAGAAGAAAATGTGGTCAGATTATTACTATACAAATAAATAATAATAAATTATATGCTAAATGTGCAAGATGAGAAAATGGCCCAAGCACGATTGAGATTGTGAATGGTGGCAATCACAGAAAATGTCACGAATTTCCTGTGAAACATAAAGAATTCAGATTTGGCCATATTAGCTTTAAATTGTTAGATATTAAACTGGCAGAAAATCAAACCACTGAAACAACAAGAGGAAAGAGATAGAGAACCATTAGATGGAGGGAGAGAGGACAGATCGGGAACAGAGGAAGAACTGAAAACCACCAGTGGCATCGTGGTAAGGGACAACAAGCAGTTCAATGGGAGACAAAAAACAGAGAATAGACGGACAGACACACAACTGCCAAGGATGCCCAGAAGAGACACACAGCAAGGTAAGGGTGAAGAAGGTAAAAAAGCAATGGAAGTTCAGTTAAGTTGAAAACAAGGAAAGGCAGTATCTCACAGACTAAAGTATTAGGGAGCACAGCCAGTGTGACCGTACCAAAAGCTGTGTTCTCTTTTAGAAAGGGTCTCTCCTGTTTCTGCTTCAAATGATTGCTGTGTGAAAGCCTGCTAATGGGCTTTGGATACAAGTGCAATATTATGGCTAAGGTGACTTGAGAAAAATGTGCCCTACAGCAAAGTTCCAATGAGCACAGGCACCTCATTAAGTGACCTCATTTTCAGAAGTGCTGAACATCCTGCAGCTCTGCCTGATTTCATTATACACTTTTTCCAAATGCTGGGCAGTCACACTGAGGCTGACATTGCTGAGACCCCAGCACAGTCCAGGGAATGGTCAGACTCCAAAGGCATATGCCCACCTACTTGCTCAAATGACAAACAAGCCTTGCCTTTCTGCCTCATTTTCCCACCTCCACCTCTGAAAATCTTAGAAACCAATGTATAAGAATGGTTAACTGAACTAATAGAAAACCACACTTATTTAATACAATGGTAAGCAGTGATTGACATCTGACCCAGTCTATTTCTAGCATTTAGAACTGACAGGCAGGTTACAGACAAACCCACTGTGATCATAAAAAAGATGACACTTGAACATAATGATACATTATTATCTTAGCCCTGAGAAAATGAATCTTATAAAAAAATCAATTTAATGCAAAAAGAAAATGTATTATTACTGCTCAGAGAAGAGCATCAGACTGGGACTGACTTTTTGTTCAGCATCAGATGCAAATGAATTGTACAGTAATGATACACACTAAATATTAGACAAAAATGCAGCACTGCATCAGAAAAACGCAGTAGCTTTTAACTGGTTCTTGGACATCTTTATCAGTTTCATACTTTGGAGAGTTTGCCTGCATTCATAGTATCATAATCACGTCTGAACTTACAGTGTTAGCAAAACTCTAATATATTATTGAATTTTTACAGGAACATTTCTTTGAGATGTAAAGTAGCTGGTTAGAATATATCCTTCTCTCTTTTGTTCCCGCTACAGCACGAGTTGTCTCAGGGGATGAATAAGGGAAATTCTACAATATGTTTTAGGAAGAACTGTCTAATTCCAAAATCCAATCTGTCTAAGAAACAAAGGGATGACATGCAAAAAATAACACTTACTCCTCTTCTGCCAGGAAAGAAGGGCTATCAGCAATTTCTTCATATTTTTTTTTTTTTTTCATTCTGCAGTGTGTCAGGACCTCAAGCTTTCTCCTTTAACTCACCTATGATGAGTGTTCAGAGATGCTCCAGCGGAGAGGAAAAATTCCTATCATCGTTTTTATAAAGCAGCAAGGAAACATACTGCCTTCTTCTGAGAATGTTTCGCGGAGTTCCTTAGTTTTACCTCCTTGGCCTCATCTCAGTCAGGCATTTATCCATGTGCCGAGCTTGAACAATATGAGCTGTCCTATTTCTGCAGGATTACTCACATGCTTAATTAGGAACCTAAGTGCTTGGCTGAAACAAAGACTTAATTTCTGACAAAAATGAATCTCGGACACTGTGCTTATTATTTGATGAAGGGCAGAAGGCACAGAAACTTCGTGAGGAGCTGAAGCACGGCATCAGCTGATGCTCTATGCTGTGCCACACTGCTTCACACCAGCATACTGATCTTAAATAATGCAAATAGACATTGAAGTGGCATTGACACATGACTGACTTAGCACATGCCAATCTCAACAGTGGTAAAAGAAGAAAAAGAGTGGTTTTATACATCTTCAAAATTCAAGCACATATGTGCTGCAGCTGCAAACCAACAGACTACCCTGTTTCAACAGTCAAACAAATTGCCTACTCATCCCATGAAGCAGGTAAGGTCACTGTCTCTGCTCTAAGAGGACAGTGCAGTACTGGAGCAGGTTACCCACAAAGGTGGCAGAGGCTCAGTCCCTGAAGGTTTTCAGGACTGTTACATAAAGTCGTGACTGTTCTGCTCTAGACCTGACAATAGTCGTTCTTTGAGCAGGAAGATGGATTAACTCATCCCATAAGCCCTTCCAACTCACATTCTGTGATTCTTATCTTCCTTTCTTTACTGCCTCAATGATGGCAAAAAGGCAAAGTGCTATTTTGTATCATATGCCTAACACACAGCAGACTTCACAAAGCAATCAGTTATCTGATATTTATTTGCTGATTTGCTACTCAGGTATAAATGCAACCAAACCCACTGCCTAGACCCTGCTGACTGCTAGAAACATTCCAGATTTTTTTTCCCAAGTCCCTTCCTGTTATTACAAAATTATCCTTGTCATTTGTTTTATTCTCTGTGTCCCAGGGCTATCAGAAAAAGTTTGAAAAGCTTTGTAACCTGTGAAACCTATGTAAAATTCTAACAATTCTTCATAAGCAAGTGGGGATCTTCTGATTAGAAGGGTTCATCTTTTCCGAATACAGCTAAAACAAACTTGTGCATTATGTCAACACAGTCAGGCTTCAATTCTGAAAACTGTTCCTCTTTGATCAGCATTTGTCCATGGACACGTGCAATACTGTTTATTTGAATACGTTTCATAAACAGGAAAATCTGCCTTTATTGAGAATCTAGAAGGACTGAAACCTTGATCATGATGTCAGTAAAAGGCAACATAGTGCACTTAAATTTATGCAGGACTTAGAAATCAAAACTGCATGCAAAGTATCTTACTATATGTTATCAAACTTTAAAGTTTGATAAACTTTTAACTACTAGTTAAAACAGACTGAAAACAATTGTTAAATAGGCAGTAAACACAAAGTGCTAAGCATGAAATACATACACTGAGTTAAAATTGTGATGAGACAGGATGATAGATTGAATCACAGACTAACACCATTGCTAGGCATAACCTCTGTAATTAATTTACTAGATTGGAATTTTTCTAGCTGAGTAAAGAAGCATACATTACCTAACGTTGCAAAGAAAAATGTGTATCTGTGGCTAAGCAGTCTCAGCAGCAAATTTTTGTAACCTTAAACTATTTTCTGCATTTTGGAGCTGTGTAACTTTTTCCAAGGTCATTCATGCATGGAGTTCAGATGCTGAGGCCATGACTTTGTCATTACCACAATACTGGCATCCTTCATATAGCAGAAGAGGAAATACATTCATAGACTATGAATTCATTCTTTTTTTATTTTCTTTTTTTTTTTAATTATTATTTTTTTAATTTTTTTTTTTAATTTTGAAAAAATGTTTTCTTGGACTATATGTAAGCTATCAGGTAAAAGTAACCAAACTTTTTCACTGCATGCAGTGATCTGTCTGCTGCACCAGTAGGGCAACTAAGAGCAGGTAAGTAAAGGTATACGCTTGTATCCTGACTTTTTAATGGAAACTTACTGCTAACAAGGACACATCTGTCATTTCAAATACTGGTCCTGTCAGAGTCAATGGGAGCTTTTTCACTGATTTTGAGTAAGTCAGGTTCCTCTTTAAAAAAAAAAAAAAATCACTCAACTGTGCTTCTTTCTAAGCACTCAGCAAAGTATGCATGAATGGTCTAACTCAGATATACTCCAACTTTTTAGGAGGTTTCTCTTATCCATTCCAAACATTACAACAACAACTACAAAGTCTGTAGAAAACAGTGTTCTAAAAAGTAATTTTTGTAATTTAATGGCATATTCAAATTTTGGTTGAAAAAATCCAAGTCCATTCTGGGGCAGAATGTCATCCTCAGGTAACACAGAGGTGATGTCTTTGAAGTCAGCAAGGTAGTTTAATGTGCATATAAGTGAAGTTAGCAAGTTTATTCCAGTCTTTAAAACTGTACATGTACCTGCATGTAACTACTGTTATCCCTGTCTTTTTGTAGTTCCATTTTGGTAATGGCACTGTACTGAATTTGAAGTTGCCACAATAAAAGAGACACTTAGGATAGTTCTGTATCTGAAAACAAAAAGATAAAACGAGCCTCTATACCCAAAGCAACACTTTTATTAAAGTTCCAGTAAGGGTTTCAAATACAAAGATCAAATTTAAAGGCCATCTTTAACAAGAGATTTAAAAGCCAATATTTTGTCTTAGATCTGTGCCACTCTATTAGAAAATACATTTGGAACAAAACAAAAGAGCATAAAATATGCACTTCTGCACTGCACTCTATGTAAATGATTTTTCTAAAGGCAGACAGGAAGGTTCAAAGAACTGATAGTGCTGTCTCCAACTTCTAAACCACCACTTCAAAAATCAGCTTCTATTGCTAAGGATCAAAAAATATTATTATCTTATAGTGATTTGGCGGCCCATATAAAAAGACAAGTATACTCAAGCCTGACCTTTAGTAAACACATGGAGCATTAACCTCTACCTCTGAAATCCTTTCTGAAAATCTCAGCAGATAAACCATGAAACCCAGGATTTGCACACTTGTAAGGAACCCAGGGAGTCTGGCACACATTATCCTGCTGCCCTTGCTTCATGGAAATCCAAGAAAGTTCAGGTTTTGCTGCTGTCCCATACATTAATTCCTGCAAGCACCTAGTACATTTATGCCTTTCTTCTAAACGAAGGCAGGCAAAAGACCTAACAGTGACTGACACCTCGATAAGGTACTAAGATTACTCAAATTTCTTGTATACTTACAGTATGATTTCCATATTGGAGGCTGGTATTCTTCAGCATCTGAAATAGAAACAAAAAGGAGGAAAAAAAATCAGTCAGTTGGCCACTGAGTCAAACTGTCAGCATGTGTTTTTCTGCTGAGAGACCTCTACTTGTCAGCAAAATTCACATTTCTTTCCCCAGAGAGATGCTGGTCTATTTACAGTAGAGTTTCCTATGTGAGAGAAGAATATAAATTTCAACCACTTGTGAATCCAGTGTGCTTTTCCAACTTATTCATGTAACAGAAATTAATTTTTCACTAATTTGCATTCAGTTTCCTGACTCACCAGTATTTGTAAAGTAATTTATTTACTTTATTTGGCACGATAAACAGAGAAATCACTACTGGTTTTCAATCAGGCTTCTAACCCCACAAATAAGATTGGAGAATGAGCATCAGTGAATAACACACGTCTGGGCTAAAAAGACGCCCAGCTCAGGCTGCACTACAGTGCACAGATCTGATGGTTTCAATGAGATTCAGTTACACTTCTTGAACACACTAGAATATGCAATTGCCACATTTTCCATAAACGAGAAACGGAATCAACAAAAAAAAAATGAGAAAAATGTAGAAAAAGTAAAGGCAGCAAACCCTGCAATTACAAGCAGACAATTATTGTCATTATTGACTGAAGGGCATGAAGAGTTGGTATCTTCTGTTAGTGCCCATTCCACAAGCAAGTTTACAGCTAGATTGTATGGTCCCACTCCACACGGGGGTTTCCAGCCCTCTGCAAGAAAGCCATTTGCTGCATCCTCCAAAAATCCCAACAGAGGCCAAGCTTGAGCGGTAGGAGTTAAGTTACCATACACCAGCACAGAAGGTGGGGCACCAGGTACTAGTTTGGCTCTGAACTGTCAGGTAGCCAAACACTTTGAAGAGTCATTTACCGAGGGTATGTCATTAACCACCCAATACTGTGCAAGCTAATTAAGGTGTTTGTTATTTACTAAACTTCTCCTTAAGTTATGCTAATATAATTCAATTATAGTTGCATAGCTCATGCTCCTTGTCTATTTACATACACACAACCACTTTAAATATAACCCTGCAAAAAGTTTGTTTACTAGGAATGTTAATCATTAACTACCATCTGCCATTTTTAACTCTATTGTTTTAACAGAGGATAAATCTAGCAATGATCACAGTTACTCCCTGGGATAATACCCTGGAACAATTTGTAGATATATTGATTGGAAACCCCATTCAGTCTCAGTTTCAACTGTATTCACTTCACAACTTTGGCAAAATTCAAAATGCTCCCAGACTGACAGGGTTATACCCTGCTGTGGCAATCCAAGAGTAATTAGCTTGCAAGTTCATTATGCAGAAGACATATTTTAAATTATATGAAGCTATTCATGAGACCAGTGAAATACAGTCATACAAGAGCTCTGTAATTTTTTAACTTCTTACATTATAATAGTAATTTATCACTCTTTTTTTCCCCCATACATCTATTGCTTCACATATAGTTTACCATAACACCATAATATTGTGTATTAAATTCCTCTGTCATACTTCTGCACTGCTGCAAGAAAATTTCTGAATTTTCTTCTTCACTTACTATATTTTCCCAATAGAAAAAACACGGAGATAATGCAGATACCTTATTATCTATACTTGTGACTTCAGATATGGAAATAATAGAGGGAGAAACAATAAAAAATCAGTGAGTATCAGTTGTTGCTTTAGTCTTCAAAATTAATTAGAAAGTGCACAGTAAATTCAACAGTGAAAGCTGATCTACAAGTGCCTGTAAAGTGCTTCATTAGCTTGAGACAGACTGATGGTGAGGAAACACTGCAGCCTAGGTGAGGAAACACTGCAGCCTAGGCGAAGAGCAATCATCCAGGAGATAAGTCATAAAACAAAACTCCCAATGATTGCATTTGATTTGTCATGGTTATGAATCTGTCAGCTCAGGAAAGAACCATTCCTCAATAGGTAAAATAATTCTTAAGGATAGTACACTCAGAGAAAAAACACAAGTCACTGGCTCCCCGTTCACCCTTACAAGGTACTGCAACACCCTCTGCGATCCCTTCAGCTGAAAGCGTGTCCCTAAATCACAGGGAACAAAATGCCATTGAGGTGATAGTATTAATAGAGTTTATTGTCAAGCTATCATGCATTTGATGTCATCCATTTGTAGGGAAATAAAAACCAATTAGTTTAAATATATCCTCGAGACAAGGGCCATAGTTGAGGATCAGGGAGGTTTAATGGAGCTCAGAAAGAAACCTTTTGCTCCCTTTGTGGAAGGAGGTTGCTGGGCCTGTTTAGACACTCTCATCCTTGCATGATAAAGGCTTAGCATTTTCATCCTGGTAGACTAGATTAGACTGAACTTCAACCCTTCTGAAGTCAGGGGTCAAATGAGGCAACTCACGCCTGAGCAGACTTGATTACTACTATTTGCCTTTTCTGAAAATTCTGTCCTGCTATTTTTTATTAGTCCTTATTACATAGAAGCTCTACTTCTTAAATCGTGCTCCACTCTCCATCATTAGACTTAATACAGCAGTTCTGGTTCACAGAAGTCCTACAAGACTTGTATAAGCATGGGATACAGGCTAATGTAGGACAGGAGTGTGATGTCAAATGGTATGGAATTAGGGGTGGAGATTGTAATGGGTTTGTTACCCTCCCTGAGAGGGAAACGGAACTAGGATAGATCATCTGATGTATATTCTACCAGTAAGATATTCCATTCCATGTTAGGTCACTTTAGATATAACACTAGATGAGGAAGACCTGAGCCAAGCTGGTATATGGTGGGGGGGGGGGAAGTGAGGGAAGGAAGGGAGAGCTGAGAAAGAAGAAGGGGTGGAGGGGGAAGGTATTGTGTTTTGAAACTCTTTTAGTTCTCATTTTTTAGCCTTTATTCTGTTAGTAGTTAATTTAAGTCTTATTCTGTTAGTAATAAATCTAAGTTTTATCCTCCCTCTGAGTTTGTTTTGCCTATTAATAACTGCCTTTCTCTCAATTCTTATCTCTACTCATGAAAATCCCTTTGTGGTTTTTTTCCCCTCTCCTCTGTCCAGCAGCAGGGGGGAGGAGAGAGGTTGGTGGAGTGGTTTTAATAGCCCCCGGGCATCTGGCCAGGGTTAAACCACGACAAATTTTTGGTGCCAAAACCCAGGACGAGGACTGCGGAGAGAGGCAGTGGCCAGATCAAACCCACTACATTGCCAATACTAGTTTGGGTGGTCAGTTCAGTTACTACACGACACCTCAACTCACACAGCTTCTGCTTTCCGTTCTGCACATGGTAGTGGTCTTAGCAAGGACAACACACTTCTGGTTTAAGCCACTTGGCAAAAGTCAATTAGTCAATCAATCAATCAATCAGTCAACCAGATTTGGCACAAATGACAAATGCCCTGTATTGATCTCTCATTAAATGATATTCCTAATATGAACTTTGGTCTTAATGCCTATCAGAATTGGGACTAGCAGCACTGGAAAAAGGGTTCACTGAGGTACTCTCAGATGATAAGACAGGGTCTTTCCTATTGCTGTTTTCTTGAGAGGTTCATATTTTCAATAGTGACTTCTTGTCTAGATTCAGAAACTGTGCCAGATAAGGTTGAAAGCTGTTGTCACAGGAGAAACTCAGATCACAAGATGAGAATCCGTTCTGAAAAACTCAACAAAATGTCCCAGGGTCAGCTATGACACACCTTTCTGAGTCTCACTGTAAAAGAGAGACTTACTGTAAAAGAATTATAGAATGTCCAATTTAGGTATTTTTAAAATTAGTTTGAGTCTTATCAAAACTGTATCATAAATGACCTTGGCAAACCCAGAAAACCTGAGTACTCACTGGAAAGACTAGAACTGGAAATAAAGCACGAGAGACTTCCTCAAATAATATTACAGGCAATACTGTTAACTAAAAACTTTGAAACAGACCAGTTGAGAAAGTTAATATTTATTAGACCTAAAAAAGTACTATATGTTAGTTGTATGCTAAACAGAAAGGCAAAAGGAATGCTGAATGCTGACTGTTGAGGAATACTACAGCTACCAGAAGGTTTCTCATAATGCATAATTGATATGAAAAGGTACTGGAGAAAATTGTCAAACCAAAAATGATACTGTGGAATTGGAAAGTGGGAGTAGAGGAAAAACAGGTTAGTTCTTCACTTTTATTTGCCTTGCTCTTCACAGAGTAGAGAGGATGAAAAGGATCTTAGGAATAAAATACTTTCATAAGGCTCATGTGGCACTTGAACCTGAGTAAGTGCAGAATGACTACAGTAAATGGAGTACTGAAAAGTTGGCACAGTTTTAAGCAGACAGATAAAAAGTAAAACTTTGTAAGATTTTTTTTCAAAGAAACATGAAGACAGAATACAGTATTACTGCCAATAATGGGCAGTAAAGGGTTAATACATTACTCAGAGCCATTCTTAAGCAATTTCTGGGAAATGGGCTTACAGTCATTACATAGTAAGTAAAGCTATCCATGGACTTCAGCCCTTGCTCTTCACTGAGCTTGGCTCTGTACCAAAGTGACACCTCTCTGGATGTAGTTGAGAAAGACACTGGAATGACTGAATTGCTTTTTACTACTTCCTTGTACTTTCTGAAGATGATGATGTAATACCAACATGCGTGGTTTAGTGCTGCCAGCACTGGGACTGACTTCGCTACAGCAGGTCTAATAAGAAACTGACTCAAGTTCAAACTGATTCTTCTGACTCCCAACACGGGTAATTGCACTAGAGAGAGGAAACTGTTTTACAGGAAAGGCCATGAATTATATCACAAAACCAAATAGTTCTGAATGGCATTTCTAATCATAAAGAGAGCAGTAACAAATATCCACACTGTAGCTATATGCCATGCCCAGTTCTAGATATGCTAAAAAGTACTAATGAATCCTATGACAGTAAAGAGTTACGCAGATGAGCAGCAGGACAGTTACCAAAAGGAAACTGTCATCATCTGCTAATTTCTTTATAGTCTTTATACTCACTATGAGAAAGGAGTAAAGATTTTCTTT